GTCCCTGTGGCTCCCCAGGGAGCTACCTCGTCACAACTGGCCTGTCCTCTGAAAACAGGGCTTCCATGGGTAGTAACTTGCTTCTCCAGCACAGCAGGTTAGCAGCGTGTATCGACATGGAAAATGGCACATCCTTTGATCCGGCAATCTCACTTTCAAGAATTTGGGAGATTCCTGAAAAGATTTAGGAAGATGCCTCTTCACCATCACTCGTTCAACATGGCCTCGAGCTGAAACAACCTCTTGGTCGACCGTGCTGATTGCCTTCCCAGCACCCACTGAGCCCACTCCTCTTTTATAACAGACCCTGAGCTCACCCCGTCAGGTGCTTCAGGGGGGACTGGCCCAGGTCCTGATTGGTCCAAGTCAGTGTTTCTCCAGGGGGCGCTGCAGCCTCCGTGGATGTGACAGTCCATTTTGTGGGCTGCCCCAGGTGTTGCAAGAGCTTTAGCATTTCAAGTTCCTTGGGCACTAAATGCCTGTAACAATCTTCACACCTTGTGACAGCTTCAGACACCCCTCCCCACACACATTTCCAGTAACCCCTGGGGGGCTCTATGCCCCAGGTGAGAACCTCTTATCTGAGCCAGTCAGGGGGAGTAGGTCCCATCTACCTTGCTAGTGATTGGGTTAAGCATGGTCATGTGATCTCACTCTGGCTAGTGAAACTCGAGGGGCTTCTGGGCAGGGTGTCCCAGCCTCAGAGGAAGCATTAGGAGGAGATAGTCTCCTGTACTTCTGAACACTGTGTCTGGATAGGATGCCCAGGACAGCCACAGCCATACTGTAAATCTATGACCCCCCGTTAGTCAAAAAATCAAGTTCACACCTGTATTCATTCAGCAATGTTATCTGAGCTTCAGGCAGTGTGCTAGATGCTTAGGATAGAATGGTAAGCACGAGACACTAATAGAACAAATTATCGGGCACTGGAGTGATTGGAAGTTGCCAGGAAAAAAAGAAAAAGTCGCCAGAAGATTATGAGGGAAAAACCATAGGATAGCGATGGAGAATAATGGGGAACCAGGACTCTTAACTTTGTGTGGTCAGAGAAGTTCTCTCCAATGAGGAGGCATTTAAGCTGAAAATGAAAGGAGGGAGAGGAGCGAGATGGACAAAGAATGGGGGAAGA